TTTCCTGCCTTTTTCTTTGTAAGATTTTTTTTGTAGGAAATAAATGAAGAAAATAGTTCACTGTTTAGCCATGTAAATCATTAAAATAACTAGTGCTTAAATAATGCTTGTTATGGGCCAGGCACCACTCTGAGCACTTTAAAATATATTGATTCAACTGAGGGAGATACCATCATTATTCTCAAATTACAAGTGTGTAAACTAAGGCATGGAGCAATTGAGTGGTTTGTCCAAGGTCACACAACTTAGACGTGACAAAGCTGGCATCATGAATCTAAGTAGATTAACTCTAGAAGCCATGCTCTAACCACTGGAATGCACTGCCCATTCTGGTGATATACTATCCAAATGTGTGCCTGATAGAATGACCTTCCTTTGAAGAGAAAAAGCTAGGAGATTTATTTTATCAAGTTTGGAAACTATTCAGTCATCAGAAAAGTCATAACATGTTTTTCTATGCAAAAATGTAGCATGACCTCTACTGATCTAATACTTAGAATACAGAAGTTTAAAGTCTCTATTTAGAATTATTTTTGTCCCAGATTCTAGAAATTACTCTGATTTTGCCCAAAAAGGTATCCAAAGGTTTGCCTTAAGATGTCCTTATCAGTCATTTATTAACAGATCGGCTATGGAAAGGTTTTAAGACAGGACAAATCAGTGTGATGGAGAGTGCATGTAACAGGGGCAGGAAAGCAGGATTCATTTGCTCAGCATCTAATCTAGTAAGCTGTGAGCCTTGGGGAAGGACTTTACCTCTCTGGACCTCAGACTTCTCACTCATATGATGGAAAAGTGAGGTTGGACGTCTTTGGAAGTCCTTTGATTCCCTTAAAAAGACTGTGAATCTCCATTCTTCCCTAGCTATACAGGTTGTTGGAGATGAAATAGATAAAGAAAATGACAAGCAAGTTTCAACTGTGCTCTGAAGGCAGACACCAGACATGTAAATTCAGATCCCAGGAATGTGAGAGGAAGCTCTGGCATAGCCTTCCTATTTCAACCAGCAACTCATCAATGCAGAAGCAGCCAGGTAATTAAAGGCCACATTTTCTTTTTCAGATCCTGCTCATCATAGACTCATCCTTCAAAGTACGTATTTCTGCAAAGTTTAGACCTCAAAGACAAGGGGAAAACCTTCCTCTTCCATAATCCTTCTTCACACACTCTACTTTTTCCATTGGATGATAGAAACAAAACATTTAAAATATTCAACACAAAATGTTTAAGACTTCCAAATTTATGAATCATGACCTATCATCAACCTGTCCAAAACATGACACATAGATAGTAAGTTTCTTCCCTGTGCTGCACCATTATCTGATGAAGAGCAGGCACTCAAAGACTATTTGTTGATTAGTAACAAACATGTTGATGCAAAGTCCTAGTTGCTACCAGTAAAGAATCAGGCTCATGTATGTGCTAATTAAACCTCAGTTTGCTTCTCCTGGGTAAGTAGATATTTCATTCACCATCACACACGATGGTAAGACCTCCTCAACATTTACCACAGAAACTCACATTTTACCAGAATGTCTGATGCTCAGACTGTACTGCCACATTTTTCACTGAGGAACCAGTGAGAGAGATCCATCATCAAGACACCAGTACCTAAAGTCACTGGTGCTTGAGAAACCCTAAGCCTAGGACTTGACGAAGATGTGGTAGCTTATTCTCCAACTCTCTTACATGTTTGGCTTTGTAACCCTAAAGAGATCAGAGCTAAAGGGGATGATAAGTAAATCAAAGTGCCTGAGAGAGGGAAGAAAGGGAAAATTTGTTAGTTAATTTAGGAAGTCATAGTACAGTGGCCAGAGTTACCTTCTCTTAGGAAACCAGTGTTCTTTGGAGGAATACTAGATCTTGATGGAACTGTCAACCAGCATGGGAGAAACCTGACTTGGGTGAGCCAGGAGACTTGAATTAATTACCTTAGTCTTTGTCATTGCAATCATGAGACTGGGGTGGAGTGGCCCAGGGATCTTTTCTATGAGGCCTTTCCTTGAACAGTGATAAAGGTCCATATCAGGGCTGAATCATGGGTTAATTTGAGAATGAGGTTCGTTGGGATTGAATTTATTTACTGAGGAAAATTATTAGTCAGTTTAGAAATGGCATCCCCTTTAATTACCAGTTTCACCATCTGAAGGTATTGAGTGACCCCAGACTCCAGTTAGAATTTAAAGGGAAATTGATGTTTATTTATCCTCTGAGAGTTTAAGCACTTTCACGTATTCAAAGCAACCATTAGTCTTATGAAGAATTCACAGCTCCTTATTTTAAAAACTCTAACTAGAAATGAGACCTGGTCAAAGCTTAAAAAGTATGGTAACTAAATTTCTTTTTTTGTTTTCCTTTTTTATTCTTTCTATGTGTCTTTCTTGCTTTTTTTTCATGAGAGAAAGATACATACTTTCATGCCAAGATCCTCAACCAAACCTTTCCCAACCAGCCAAGATTACAGGCACACAGGCACATGTGCACACACTCAGAATATAAGTCAACCCTGGAACCAAATTCCATCTATTATGTGGCTTCGAGGATTGCAAAGCACTGTGCTACCACTGCTCCACCATGACTGGGCCTGATCTCCACATTTCAATTCCAATGAATAGAGAATGTAATTTCAACTGATATTTATAGTTTTTTTCAACTTCACAAGAACCTTCCCAAACAATATAGGTCAATTAAATTCTAAATAGGTCTATTTTAACATGGCATTCTGTTGAAAGTTTTGTTTTGTTTTGTTGTTTTGTTTTTCCTTTTCAGCCAGTTCTGGAAATCTTGTTAACTTTCTGTCAAGTCCAGGGCCTCCTCTACATTATCTGGCTTTAAAGAACAAAAGGGCCAGCCATGATGGTACAGCACTAACACAATGCTCCATGACGCTGAGGCCAGGTGGGAGGGTCCAGGGTTTGCATTCTGAGGTCTCCCTGTGCATGTTGGGTGTGATCCTGGCTGACTGAGGCTGGGGGTGAAATTATCCAGTAGAACTTTCTAAAATGACAGAAATGTCTTACATCTGCACTATTCAATACAGTAACCACTAGTCTATTGAACAGGTATAGTCAGAACCACTCCAAATAAATATTTATGAAGCCCTTATTCTGGGTTAGTGGGAATTTGGCCAGCAGTAGAAAGGGGACTTGTCACAGTGTCATAAGACATCCTGGGTTCCTTGAGAACAGGGAATGGGGAATGATAGATGGATTCTCTCTGAGATACCCATGCCCTATGCTGCCACCATCTTTCTTTAAGCATAAAAGAACTATTGAACATTTGAAATGTGGCTAGTGTGACTGAAGAAGTACACATTAAATTTTATGTCATTGTAATTGACTTACATGAAAATGGCCACACGTGACTAGTGCTACTGTGTCAGATCGTAGTACGTACTGGAGAGTTTTCTCAGTGCCAGACTAAGAAAGCTAAGACTCTCAGTCATCATGATTTAACCTCTTTTCAGTTCCAAATAATACTGACTTTCACAGTAGAAAGATTTGAAAATGTAACTCAAGTTTCCATACAGTCCACATGATTTGAAGCTGGGGTCTGTGCCCTCCCCTCACATGCAAATATGGCTGAGTACAATGTGCAGCAGTAGCAACTCTATTCTTCTCTAGGATCCAGGAAACTTCACATTCCTTCTGGGAAGACTGGATCCTCTCAGGCTTGTGAATTCCCCATCCTGCACCCACACAGCCTGAGGCTTCTAAAGAGCGGCCCTTTGTCCTCTGGGCTTGTGTGTCAAGGAGGCAAAAGATTCTGCTGCATGGCAATTAATCAAGTGACCCACTTCTACCTTTGATCTGGGAGAAAATAATTAAGATAATACTGAAGAGGAGAAAGTGAGGCAAGGACAGAGCAATGGGGTGGGGTTGGGGGGACATTGCTAAAGAGGGAGGAGGGAACCATAGATGGGAAAGAAAGAGGGAGGTGGTGGTAGCACAGGGCATGGGCATTTCAGAGAGAGATTCCAGCTACCATTCTCTGTTCTCTATTCTAAAAAAAAATTTTAAATAAAAATAAAAAAGATGTTCACACCACCATGACAAATCTCTTTTCTACTCCTGGTCAAATTTAAGCCACCAGTTATGCTAACCCATAATAGGGGCTTCATAGAGTCTTATTGGGATGGTTTCAATTGTACCTGTTCGGTTCTTACTCCAAGGGTCCTCTGTCTAGCCTTCACTCCTATTTCACTCCTATCAGCAAGAGATCTGCCTAAAAACAACATTCAGAAAGATCCTACGAGTGTGCTCCAAGGAAAATACGGTAAGCCTGCAGGTCTCTGAGAGCTCCTGTAGATTGAAACTTTCTTTATCGCGACTGAAAAACCAGAAATCTATAATTAACTGCAGAGAAGGCAGGGACTAGTAATCATTTGTGATTAAATTCAATAACTTGGTAGCAAAACCCTTCTCAAGGCCTTGCAGGGCTACCTTTAAATGAAGCTCTTAAACAATGGCTGGATAGAAGGTAGTCCTAAAAAAGAGGACTGAAAAAGAAATGGCATTATTTTGTTCAACTAAAGAGAAATAAAGTATTCAAAACAAGGGTTATGTGGGCATTTGTTTTGCATTTCTTAGAAAAAGAGTTATAATATGTGTTCTTTTTGTACATCTTAAAAACATATTAGGGACACACTGAGCAGATCGATATGCAAAATTATGAATATTCCATTCAATAATTAAGCATGTCTTCTTTTCTTGGCCCTTTTAATGAAAGCATTTCCTGCACAATCCATTTTAATCCAATTCTTTGATATTTAAAAAAAATGGAGTTTCCTCTAATTGATTCATAAAGAAAGTTTGTTTATCTAGCGGAACTGAGAAAAGTTAGGTCTGGAGATAATTACAGGAGCTTTTTTATGAGGTTAAGAATTGGCATTTATAGGGGAAATTATATAAAGATACAACCAACTGATCTGGAATTTTTCTACAGAAAAACCTTGATTATTTCACTCGATTATATAAACACACAGACCCAAACACACTTACCCTTTTCACAGTTCTCAGCACGGCTGGATTTGGGGCCAGACTATAACATTATGCATGTTTTAAATGAGGAGTTCAACTCTCTTGGGTTCCATAGGACATGTTCAGTTTTCCCAGGCCAGACTCTGGAGTCTGGTTATATCCATCATAGGTGAATAGGTTTGTTTTCAGTCTATCCAACTCAAACCCTCTAGGAACCTCTTTGAAAACCACAGAACACAATCCCATGCTTGATTTTGCACTGAGATCTTTCAATGGGATGAAACATACAGCATGTAAGAGCAGGTGTTCCCAGATCTACGCCTGAGGAGGCTGCAGGGAGCGTGCCATTCTCATTAACAGTGCATACTCACTATGTCTCTTCCTGAAACAGGCTCATCTTGTTTCAGACAGAATAGGGACAGATGAGGGCAACGTCTTGACCACCTCATCTCCGGGGAGAACGTTTGCTTGCAAACAGAGGAAAAACACAAATCAGCATTAACACATGGCTGGTTTCTAGAAACCTTTTGAAAGCCCCAGAGTATCTTGGAAGTCAAATCTTGGCCTTAATCCTGATCTCTTTACAAACTGACCCAAACATAAAAAAAAAAAAATGTATTTCTAATTACCCTGGATTAAAAATTAGAATTTTGTATATGTTATGTTGTGTGAATAGCTAGAATGGTAAGGAGTTCCAAATTTGGGGGGTCTTGAAAACTCATTCTCCTTTTCTAATTTACAAATGAAATGCACATGTGGGTTCACTGATGACTTATAAAACCTGAGAAAATTTTTTTCTCAACAGCTGTGCCATCAGCTCTGGACAGTTGCTAATCTAAAGTGCTAAGTTACAATGAAACGTTGCTACATTACAAAGACTCACTCTGTCTATCTGACCAGGATGTCACATACAGCACTGAGAAAGAATACCTCCTGTCAGAGGCCCACCCACGGCCTTCACTGCAGACTTGGCAGGGGGGTGGGGGGGGTGTCATTGTCCATGCATGGAGCTCTGTGCCTTCCTCACTCAACTTGCTCAAGCCATAAGCAGTTCCTCATATCAGCCTGGATAGCTAGCTACAGCCCTCCAAAAATGGGGGAGGAGGTGGGGGGGGTGAAACTTGTCAAAAGAAATTGCTCTTTCCAGAGAATTAATTTCTTCTGTACTTCATAGTTGCTATAACAGTAAGAGAGAGAGGCTGCTCTACTGGGTAAAGTAAAAGGTGAAGGGAACCACATGAGGACAAGAAAGTGTTTGTGGTTTAAAAATAAGCAATACTTACTATGTAGCAAGCACCAGGCACATATTTAGTTTATTTACTGCAAATACATACTGCTTTATGAAGTAGGACATTTGTTTCCAGTGCCCCCCCTTTTTTTTAACTTGTCAGAGGGTGCACCAAAGAGAGAGGGAGAGGGAGACAGCACCCCCACAACAGTGTGTGCTCACACCACAGTCCCTTCTCCTCTGTTTCTCAATCCCATCAGGATTTGGGGCACACATGCACATGCACGCCTGTGTGTTTTTAAGCCACCACGGCCAGGATTCGAACTGTGGAAGACCTAGTGAGATCCAATTCCCTTAACCAGTAGGGCCAGCCCTGTTTTTGTCAGCCTTTTAAAGTTGAAGAAAGGATATTTTTCATTCCAAGTCATGCAGGTGGTAACAGGAAAGTAGGGTTTTAGCCTTGGAAATCTCACATCCAGACCTGCCCTTTAACATTCTACCATACAGCCAGACAGAGGCTCGTGAAGACTCCTACCAACTCAGCTGACATCTGATGAGCGAGATAAAAACCTGTGTCCTGTCACATTTCATACTTACCCACCCTGACGTTTGAGGACACTGGTCTTTCTTTTCACTCTCCCTCCCGCATGCAGAAAGCAGGAACCATCCACCAGGGAGTCATGGGCACAGGACAGCAAACATCAGTCATGGGGTCTAGGATGGGATCACAAGGCCCATGGACAGATGAAGTCTGACCACATTTTCTTCTTAATGAAGTTATTAATCTGCTCAACAAGGGGCCATGGTATAGCTGATCATCAATGAGATATTTGACCAAATCACTCAAGATATTCTGCTGGGCAAGAAGGAGACATGCACTGACTAAATTTGGGGCAAACCATCTTTCCAGTTTCTGATACAGGTTGGCATCAGTCTCAGACATTGCTATCTGATATTTTTATCAACAACCCATAGTTTAAAATCATTAGGTACTCCTCCTACCCTCTGAAGAGAGTCAAACCCCTTCTCTTAGTACATGTCTCTGCCATTCTTATCCACATCTTCCATGGCCTCTCTCGTAGCTAGGCCTTCTGCTATCTCTGGCCCTTGACTCATGTGCTTGCTATCCCAGGAACTCTCTCTCTCTCTCTCTCTCTCTCTCTCATCTCATCTTTCACATCTCAGCACAAAAATCACTTCTACCTGGAGGCTTTCCCTGACCATGTTCCTCCCCAAACTGGACACAATGTCCACCTGTGGATTCTCTCCACGCTGTCACGTGTCCTCACAGCATCTTATAATGCCCTTGTCATCACACTTACAGGCACACTTCTTTTTTTTTTTTTTTTGGAGAGGTTTTTGCTATAGGGCGCGTGCGCTCGCCAGACAGACAGAGAGAGACATAGAGACAGAAAGTGAGAAATCACCCCCCAGAGGGGATGGTCATGCCACAATCCCTTCTCCTCCATTCTCCTCTCGGGATCTTGGGCACGCATGCACACGTGCCTGGCATGAGTTTTAAGCCACCAGGTCCGGGACGTGAACCGCGGTCGACTACGTGGGAGTCCAGTGACATAGCCATTACGCTAACTGCTGGTTCCCACAGGCATGCATTTTGACGACTGGTTTGTGTTCCTTATTAGGCTACAGATTTCATGAGCAAAGGGCTGTGTTTACTTTGATCATCATTCTATCTCTGATAACCAGTACCATGACTGGCATAAGCAGGTTTTCAGTAAATATTTATAGAATGACTGATTGACCAAAACTAAGTAATTTTAAATTAATGAAGAAATGGAATCCAAAAAAGAGATATCAATTGTCTGAGTCAGAGGGGTGGCTCCAACAAAACTAACTGCATCTGGGATCAATGATAAATAAAATACATGGTGATCAACTCAGATACTAAGTGGGAGACATGACATTAGAAGCACATATGAAAAGACAGGATTTTTACTTGACTGAATTAAATGGCAATGGGCTTCTCAAAATAATAACATAGTTTTAGTCTTTATGGTTAGGAGCAAAGTGTCTGAGAAGTAACAAATTCTGAATGGGTCAAGCCATACTGAGTATTATTATGTCTGCTCCAGTTGCTATATTTTAATACAAAAGATGGCAAAACAGACCGCATTCAGAGGAAAGCAAGGCAGAATAAAGACAGTATTGAAAACCAAATATACAAAGAAGGGCCAAAGGATTTTGGGTTGCTCAGTCCAGAAAAAAGAATGCTTCGGTAGAGGCCTTGACCACTGTCATGTGAAAGGAGATTTAGACTTGTTCTAAAGTAGGACCAGCACCAGTGATAGAAGTTACAGATGGGAGGAGAAATTTCCAGGCCAAAATACAACTAATTGTAATGGGATAAGAGTTGTCAGAAAATGGACAGGGGAAGAAGGTTTGGGATAGTTGGGCATACCCATCACCTGAAGTCTTTAATCAAAAAAGTCTTCAACTAAATGGATTCCCACTAGGCAGAAATATTATATTGTAGATTTTTTAAATAAACGGGAAGAAGGTTTGGGATAGTTGGGCATACCCATCACCTGAAGTCTTTAATCAAAAAAGTCTTCAACTAAATGGATTCCCACTAGGCAGAAATATATTGTAGATTTTCTAAATAAACATTCATTTATTCATGAGTTTATTTTAATTTGAACAGAGAGACACACACACACACAGAGAAGGAAAGTGAGAAAGTAAGCCACCAGGTCCAGGACTTGAACCACGTTCCACCATGTGGGAGTGTCCAGCACCTTAACCACCATGGCACCTATTGGCCCCATATATTGTAGGTTTTAAGAACTAAATGCAGATTTGTACTTGACAACCACTACAAAGACCCTTCCAGATAACTCAGGAAAGAATCTGCTGATCCCATGTTGTTGCATTTAAGTGGCATCCTCCGGGGGGGGGGGGGCACTCCTCAGTGAGGCATGATCATGCTTTAATCCCTTCTCCATTTCTGCATGCACACACACCCACCTGGAGTGTATTTCAAGCCACCTGGGCTGGGATATAAACTACAGTCAGCTATCAGGGATCTGACTCCTTCAACCACTAGGCTACAAAGCCATACCTCCACTTCTACCCCTCCCTATGCTGTTCTACTTCTGTGTTGTTTCATCTCACTGTATGATTTGGAGCCTCATAAATAAGAAAACCTAGTTTTAGACCCAAATCTGCTGCTTCTTAGCTATGGGCTTATCATCTTGTTTAAGCTTTATCTCTTCATCTATAAAACAGTAAAGTTTTGACCCATTTGATCATTTAGTTCTGGCCATATTAAAGTTCTAAAGCATTAATTCTTCTCAGACTGTCCAAGGTCCACATGAATCAGAATCACTATGAGAGACTGTTTACTACACAAGGGGTCTTCAAAAAGTTCACAGAAAATGCATATTATGAAAAAAAAAAACTATCCATAGATTTCAAACATTTTTTGCACTAAAAATCTTATTTTTTAATTACATTTTTCTACAGACATTTTGAAGTCCCCTTGTACAGATTCTTGAGCCCCATCTGGGAATCTGTAAGGGGGACCCAAGACATGAATTTTTAATAAAGCACCAAAAATTGTTAACACGCACACTGAAGATCTAGAAACATCTCAAAAGTCTGTGTACCCTTGAAATCAGAACAATAGATAAGCAGAATTTAGGCACTAAAAAGTTAAGTCACTTGCCCACATCTCAGAGTAAAATCAGAATTGTTCATAAAAGAAAATCATCAGGTTATTTCCTGTTCCCTTTGAGGGCCTGAATACATAAATAAAGAGGATAAAGAGGTAGATGTAGAACAGAATAATCTTTAAGACCCAAACCCTGTCTAGTGTGGAAGGAATAGGGAGCCAAGCATATTCTAAGTTTCAAAAGCAGTTGAAGACAATAGCAGGTACAGTTGCCAGACTGCAGAGAACAGTACAGGGTAAGGCCTGTCAACAAGCTCTCCCTCCACACATTTACCTCTTGGAAGTGACATGAGACAAGGGTTGAAAAACTAGACAAATGAGGGCCAGTAGGTGG